GCCTGGCGGTGGGAGGGGATGGCCAGGCCCAGGCGGCGGCGGGAGGGGCCGGCGCGGCGGTCTGAAGCTCCAACAACGCTGCTAGCTCCTTCATGGTGCTTACCTCCGGCAGGTAAGTTCGATCTTGCGCTATGTACCATATGCATGCTGCTTTGGTTTTTCCTTTTTGCGGGGTTAGATCTTGTTGGTTGTGCTTGTACCATCCGGGCTAATCTGCCGGCCGGATGTCTTTGCCTAGGTGGTGGTCCTCGGCGATTCCGTTGGCGTCCCGTGGAAGAAGGTTTGCTGTGGAGAGGACATGCGCCAGAGGACGACGTACGGACGGAATTGGAGCTAGTAGCATTCTTGGATCTGCTTGTACGAGCAGAAATGGCCAGTTCATCATCAGTTCTCTTCTACTTCATCGTGTGTTGTTTTATGCATGCTTTGTGTTTGATGGTACCTGGCTACTAGTACTAGTAAGTACTATCTAGCATGATTCTCTTCTGCTTGGGACTTTGAGTCTGTTTAAGGATCTGAAGTTTGGCATGTACTACGTGTGTAAGACCCTGTTCCGTCAACAACTTGTTAATTAATGATGAAGAAAGAAGTGGCCGTTAATCTCTTGTATCTACGTTCATCCATCCATGCATCTCTCTTGTTTTTCGTGATTCGAGTTATTTTGTTGCCAGTGGTGTAGTGTCTGCGGAAGACCTTTTGCTGCTCTGTCTCCGGGAGAAATCCCTTCCCTAGCTCCTTGCTAGCCGCAGCAACGGCGACGCCGCCGCTTCCTTTTCTTGAAGGTGCTGCTGTGGAGTCCCAGCACTTTGGTCCCAGCACAGCAGTGGACTCGGGCGAAAGCCCTGTAATGATGGCGTCCGTGGGTGTCATTAACCTTTTTGAAGGTGTCGCAAGAATCCATGCGTCAATCCACCCATCTCCTTCCCGGCCATCTCATACCACCGTCGACTTTGCCTCTTCGTCAAGCCCTTCGCTGTCATCCATGTTGTTGTGCTTGCTCAAGTCCCTCCCATGGCTGCTGTTGTGGTGCGGCGAGCTTCGTGTTATTGGTGTTGTCCCGGTTCTTCTTTGCTCAATGATGATGCAAGCCACCTCCCGAAGTTGTTAATCGTTCTGAACTCCTATGGCAGAGCTCGCAGTCAAGGTTCGTGTTCATGTAGCACTCTTGATCATATATGCTCTTGTGTTGTGCCGCGGGGTTTAGTACGCACTCCGGTGCGGTGCATTAGGCTGCTTGCAAAGTCTTGGTATTGTGATCCTTCTACAGTATCCCACATCTACTTGTGCCTCTCATGGTGATGGACCTTCAGTCTGCGAACTAGGTCGGGCCATGTTCCAGGCATCCATTTTTCTCATCTTCACTTGTATGGTTTTCGACCTGATTTTTCTTATAAACGGGTCAATTTTGTTAAGATTTTCGATCTGATTTTTCTTATAAACTGCATCAATTTTTCTTTGAATGAGATCAAATTCAGGTGGGGAGCTCTCCCCCGGTGACTGTTCAAAAAAAAAATCTCACACACCCAACTTTACCGCGCGATGGGAAACGACGACCGACAGCGCTGTTGTCATGTCTAGTTTTACTGGAGCAGCGCGCCGTCAGCCGTTCGCATGCATGCCACGGGACAGCCGTCATTTCCCCGGCCGGCCGGTGAACGCCGGCCGCACTGGGTGTGCTGCTAGACGCTAGCAATTTGGTAGAGTACTACTCCCTCCGTCCATGAATAAGTATACACCTAATTTTTGTCCTAAGTCAAAGTTTTAAAGTTTTGACCAATATTATACAAAAAAGTAGTAGTATATATGACATCAAATTGATATATTATGAAAGTACATTTCAAAACGAATCTAGCGATACTAATTTAGTGTCATAAATGCTGCTACTTTTCCTTTATAAAGTTGGTCAAATTTTAAAACTTTGACTTAGGACAAAAACTAGATGTACACTTATTCACGGACGGAGGGAGTACCTACGTGCGTAGCATGTGGGTATTCCCCATTTGAACTTGAAATGAAAAGAGGCTGGCGTCAGGTTTTAAATTAATGAAATCCTTACAACCTTACAACCAATGGTACAACTCAACAAAAGAAAAGAAAAACTCCAGCAAAATGCATAGGTGCCCGCGAGCAGCAACAAAGCTAAAAATACAAGAAATTAGAGCCCTCAAACATGATCAGAGGACCAACACTGCGAAGGAAGCCAACTCAAGAAGAAGACCAGCCGGGGGAGGAGGCTATGCCATTCCCATCGCCTGGGCGTCTGGTAGAACAACGTCATCTTGTTCCATCGCGAATAGGGGCTCCCAGCTCCTTGCCCTGGCTCGAAGGGTGTCCCACCGTTCGAACAATGGAGTGCTCACCACCCTAGAGCGCAGATGGAAGCTGGCACCAAGACAACAAAGGAAGGCCTTCGAGCATAGCCACCTTGCCGTACCTAGCTCATCAAGAGTGCGACGTCTTTGAAACATTAACTGAGACACGACGAGAACAAGCTGCCATCTACATAATGCACCTCAACGACCGGCAAGATGGGACCTTGCTCACAAGACGGAGCCTCCAAGGAGGAAACGACACCACCGCCCGGTCTGGAACATGCCAGACCAAGGGTTTCACCCAGAGCCCATAGTGGATGGAGGTCACCCACGATGAAACCTCCAAGGAGGTAGCGGCACACATGAGTACCACTATCACCGGCCCCGACATCGTCGGGCAGAGCTTTCGCTCGGGACACGACGCCTACCAACTAGGTCCATCAGTCATAGTCGGCCAAGGTAAGATGGAACAGCACCCAAACCAGGCGGGTTGGCAGTGAATAACACATCCGCATGACGGACGCCCACCGAGATCCACCTCGCCTCCCAAGTGGCGAGGCGACACACGAGCACCTGCGCAGCAACACCCACCGAAATGGTGTCACCATGCCCACCGCCCGAAGCCATCGCTCCAACTACCAAGGGGATCCACCCTCACCCACCACCCACATGGAGATTGGCCGCAAGCACGCGGCCGACCACCCCTGCTGTCGCATTGACGCAAATTCGCGACCCACTACACCCCAAAGATTGCAACTTGCACCCGCATGAAGAAGAACCCTAGATCTGGGTTACCGGGTGCCCACAAGAAGCAACTCCAAGGGTCACCGACGAGGGACTGGCCATGCCCAAGGATACCATCAGACCGTGTCAAGAGCTTGCTGGATCTTCCATATCAAGCCTCCATCGGCGGCTGGGAACTCCCTCCAAGGCCGCCAGCCACCTAGGGTAGCTGCGCCACCAGGAACTAAAGGAAGCAGCATGCCTCACCCCCACGCCCGCCGAGGGCCGTGCCGCCACCAAGCAGGCCACGGCCGGCTAAGACGGTGGGAGTCCACAGGGGCGAGATTCGGTCCTTGAGGCCATGGGGGATGGACGAAGCACACCCGGGAACCAGGGGAGAGAGAAGGAGGTGGAAGTATTGTTATCTAGGGCATGAAGACAAGACGAACCCAAGAATGAGTATAGAAATACTGAACAAGTAGAGTATGAAAAACCCACTGGCGAGACATAGCTTCGTGAAACACTTCATTTCTAAGCTGGATACTATCAATGTGTTGTCCAACGCATCATCAAACATGTAACATATAGGCTTGCTACTCAGCGAGCTCAGCGTGGAAGCCACCCCTGCTTGGGCGGATGAAAATCTACGTAGATGTGGGCTCTCCAATACTGGAGTAGGAGCATCGGTAGCAGTATGTAGAGGCCATGCATGATGGCTTGTACTTGGCCTCTTCGAGCACTTCCGACAGTCTTGGAGGCCATAACCTTCCGTCACACATAGCTTCGTGATTTCGCGAGTTACCAATCCGGTAATCTTGGAGGCCATAACCTTCCGTGACACATAGCTTCGTGATTTCGCGAGTTACCAATCCGGCAGTCTTGGAGGCCATAACCTTCCGTGACACATAGCTTCGTGATTCTGGGAG